TTTGGTTAAAATGTGATGTTTTAAAAGAAAATTTAAAAAGAATTTTTAAATTTAACAAAATGAAATTTTAATTTTAATTTAAAAAGTTCTGAGGCCTCTCCTTTCTCCTCCCATTGAGCCTAACTCCACTCCCACCATCTTTTAAAGCATTTTAAAGAGATACAGATGAATGCTACAGCCTGTTTCTGCCAAAAGGTAGGTATTTGAGGAGAAGTGGTGTCACCCCGCCCTTAGCAGTTTGCATCCCCCACAGTCCCTAGTGAAGCCATTGCATGGGGCATTCATCAGCAGACTGACAAGATCCCACTAGGGTACAGTGCTTTATAGAAGCAGCGGTGGGAATCATGCAGCTCTGAAGAAATGGTTGAACTACAACTCCCAGGATTCCTCATCACTGGCTATGTTGGCTAGGACTGCTAGAAGTTACAGTCCAACAACATCTGGAAGGCCACATGACTCCCACCTCTGTGACCCCACTGTTTCTGGGGTTATTTTGAGTCATTTACCAGAATACAGCCATGTGCTCACATTGCAACCACTCCTCTCCATAGCACCTTCCTTCTCATTATGCAGTCAACAAAAATAAAAGAAAACCTCACTTGTCCTGAAGTTCAAATAACTCATGGCTTAGTGGTTTGAGTGTTGGACTACAACTCTGGAGACCAGGGTTCAATTCCCTGCTCAGCCATAAAACCCATTGGGTGGCCTTGGGCAAGTCACACGCTCCCAATTTCAGGGGAAGGCAATGGCAAACAGCCTCTGAACAAATCTTGCCAAGAAAACACCACAATAGGTTCACCTTAGGGTCACCATAAATCAGAAATGACTTGAAGGCACACAATACACACACACACACACACAAACATCCCTTGGCACCAAACAACTTGTTTTGCACTTCCTACACTGTCCTGCTGCCTTCACCTAAAGTGGAGAACTCCACTCACTGCCAGCAGTGCAATAAGATCCAGCTGTTACGTTGCTCAGCATTTAGTGATATAAAACTTATTTTATCTCTGAATGCCAGTACAAATAACTTCCATTGTCTCCCTACCCCATGTGTGAGTATATGATTTCTGCAAAAAATTTAATTGCTATCCCCACCTAACATACAATCTTTTTAAGGCAATTTTTTTTTTTGCATGGAAATATGCAAGGTTGCTCTGCCCTTTTTCCAAACATGTTTTCCATCCATAACATATTGTTGTTTTTGAGCAAAACAACAGTTTTGTTGTTTTTGTGCAAACACACAGTTTCAGAGGACTTCCAAAGATGCAAAAAATCTTGCCATTGCTCTATTTTAGGTGGGTGGGTGCAAGATCTCCAGAATGTTCTGCATCCTTTTTTCCCCCAACCAGAAACGGTAAAAAACAACACCAACAAATATTGGCTGGCATTCTGAATTGCACTTATGGACTCATAGCCTAGAATTGTGGATCTCTAACTGCTCCATAGTCAATAAGACTATATGGTCTTATTGTAAGACTATGTAAATCCCCCCCAAGCACACCTTGATAGCCAGCAAACAAGGCTGCAAAGATTGACTGTTGCAGCTTCTTGTGAGAGGAGGCTGGAAATGTCATCTTCCTTGCATCCTGATTTGCAACTGAACAGATATTCTTCGTCCAATGTGGCTGCTGGCTATTAATGTTGGCTTGAAGGACAATTTGGTCAGAAAACATTACTTAAAGGGCCTTTGCAGACTGCTAGAAACAGTGCAAATTGAGTCCACTTT